ACCCAGTTCATATATCCATATTAACTTCACACATTTTGATATAGTCCTTTAAAATTAAATTGGGATTACATAAGATGGGAATGGGATAACATTCCTATGATGTTAAGGCTTAAAGATTGATTACTTACATAACAGGAATTGCATTTTCTTCTTCTTTTCTTCTTTTCCTTCCTTGTTACGTATTAGATTTGAAAGTTTAAAAGGAGGAAAAGAAAGGGGAAGTGGAAGAAAAGGGAAAATTACAAGAAAAAGAGGAAAGTAACAAACTTGTACAAAAGAGAGAAGGAAAAAAGAAAGAAGAACAAGAAAGGGAGACACAAATGAAAAGAAAACTTAGAGAAAAGAAGAAAAATACCAAAAACAAAGTGAGATTTAATTGATGAGAAAGGTAAGAAAAAGAGAAAAGAGGAAGATTTACATGACAAAGAAAGAAAAACCAGCTAGAAAAGACTAGAAAAAATTTGGAAGGAGGTGGAGTGGATAGTATGGCATAATTGGGCTCACTAAAGCTCCTAAAGGGTAGAGAAACCTACGATGCACCCCCACTGTTTTTTTTCTTGCTTTCTTTTCATTTTTCTAGTGCAACTTGTAACTACATTGATAAAACATATGGTTTTTGTGGGCGCTGCCATGCCCCCGCCTTGATAGTTGGACTTTCACATTAAGTTAGTGAGTGGCGACACGATAAGTTGGTGACATAATAAGTGATGAATTTTAACATGATAATAATAAAGATACAATTATCATATAATATTAAAGAGTACTTGATGTCCATCAAAATATATTTATTTTCTTAGTTTTTATTTTTATTTTAGTGATGAGTTTCTTTTGTTGTTTTTAAGATTTTTTAATTCTTTACATTTAATTTAGCATTGTCTAATTTCATTAGATATCTAAAATCTTAGGGATTATTGAAAAAATTCTACTTTAAATTTGGGGTTATAGGACATAATAGCATGACACTAGTATATAAAACTTTACTTTTTGTCAAAAAAAAAAAAAAGAAAAACACTTTACTTTACATTAACGTTTAAAAAAATTTTAATTTCGGACTAATAATTTGTTAGTCTGAGTAAAAAAAACTTAATTTTTTTTAAATAAAATTTTGAATTGAAATCTTATGAATAGAAAAAGAAATGCAAAAAAAGCTTCTTCTAATAAAATCGGATGTGATTCAATTCGAAATTAATTGAGATTTAAAGTAATCATCAAATGCCAAGAGATTAATATCAAAAAAAATTTAATATTTTTATGATTCAATGATCATATCATTTTTATAAAAAAAATTTTACATATTATAATATAATTTAAAAGTATCTGATTCGAATCTCATTTTCATTATTAATAAAAAAAAAATTTCCAACTCCAGTACAAATTTCTCCAAAATATTTTATTTTTTTAAGTAACCTAAAAATGCGAAAAGAAAAATAATTTTACCTGAAATTTTCTCAAAGGAAGTGACAGTACAGTTACTGTGCTAACTGCGGCGGAAACTCCTTGGTCGTCTGTCTCACTCTCTCGTCTTCCTCCAATTGCTGCATAGGGATATGTAGCTTGGTGTTTTGAATTGACCAAAGTAGACCTCCACTTTTCTTAAATTAAAAGTTTGCCATTATTTTATCCAAACCCAAAAGCCCGTCCGCCCTCTGTCTTTGTGGGCCACAACGTAATTAACAATCAAACAAAGAGAATCTTTTATTATTAAAAAAAGAAGAAGGAGAAACCAGCCTGGTTTTATATAGAAAAGAGACCGTCGTTTTGCTACATGGATTATATTAAGATGTAAAATTTTAAATAATAAGGGCTTTTCATTTTCAAAGGATTATTTTTTATTTAAGAATTTATATTTTATAATTTAATATAATTTCAATTAAAAAAAATTTTCATAAAAAAATATATTAGTTTTGGTGGAATGTCTTTGAATTTTTTTTTATTTTTCAATTTGATGCCTGAAACAGTAAATTTAAGTTATATAAATTATGATTATTATCTTCACTCAAAGGATGTAAATGAATATATATATTCACATATTTAAAGTTATACATGTAACAATTATATAAGGGATTTAATTGAAAAAATTAAAAATTTAGAAAATAAAATTTTATTTGAATTGACAATTTTTTTATCAAATTATATTAATTTCTTTTTTTCTTATCTTTTATTTTAAAAAAATTAAATTTTTTAAGACCTAGACAAGTCTTAAAAATTAACTTTCTATTTCCCATCCTCATGTTTCCCTTTCTTCAAGAAATTTCTTTTAATAGATTTATTTTGAAATTATAAATACATAGAAAAGATATTTATTAGTCAAACTTTAAAAAAAAATTAAGTAAAAAAATATTTTAAAATTATATCATTTCAACATATTTTCACTAAAGAAAATAAAATAACATATTATTAGGGTATGGATGAAGACTGTTTCAATCGAATACATGATGGCTAATATTTCCGAAAACATAAATGATAGGCAAAAGTAGGAAAAGGGTCCTCAACTTGCATTAAATTCATAAGTAAGGTCTTAAACTTTAATTGCACTCAATTAAGATTCCTAACAAACTACATGAGAATTTTGAATTAAGGTGCTAATTGGATTGAATTTTAACTTCTCGTCAAATGTCTTGTGATATTTTCAATACCTATTTACTTATTTACATACATGTCACACTACATGGACAATTAATGTTCATTGAATTAAATTTTTATGTCATATGAGAGTATATCTCCATAAACTAATAGAGACCCACGAGGGCTCTTTACTCTTATTATTTTTCTTTCTTAAGGGGCGCTTTACTCCCTTCATCTCTAAAATCTTTGAATTGGGGATGAAATCCCTAAATTCTAAAATCTCATTTTCTCTATTTTGCTATTTACTCTTTTGAAATTCTTATTGTTTTTAAGACATGTCCATCTCTCATATCTTAGATTATATCTAGAAAACCCACTTCACAATTCTTGGTCAAATATTTTCCTAATGCACTTTTACAAGAAGCCTATATCTCAAATTCACTCACTTCATCGCCAATCAAGCAATTCTTGAAGCTTTTGTAATGTGGTGGTGTATTAAGGAGTTGATTGAGTTGAGCACTGCAGAATATTAACTTAGTGGTAAACTTGGTTGGGATCAATTAGGCATATGCTAGTTCATTTTGGGTGAAACATGTTCAAGCAAGCCAACATGCTATTAGCTTTGTTCATCAGTGAAGACGAGTATAGACCAGAGGAAAACAATGGGTGCTTGATGCCATCAGCCGCTCATGGCCACCTTAGTTATCGTCATTTTAGTGCTTTTTTTAGTTTTTAGAATAGCCATCAACAAAATCAAGCTTTTGGTCTTCTAATACAAAAGAGAGAAAATGAAAAAGGAGAGGAAAAGTTAGAAGAGAAAGGAAACAAAACATGAAGAAGGAAAGACTTAAATGCTATAGATCTTTTTTTTTTTTTTTTGGTGCTTTAGATATGAATTTTCAATGTTATTCCATACTTCTTCAGCACAATTCTTCTTTCTTGTCTCTAGTTTAACTATTTGTTTCATTTTCTAGTCTGGTTTCTTTTGTCTCCAATGCAGTTGCACCCATAAATATATGAGAATTAATCTAGTCAGCATTAGTTATCTACTAGTCATGCCATGTATGTAAAGACTGATGGACATTGACAACTCCAATTAAGGGAGAAGTTAAAATTCTGTTCAATCATGATCCTAATTGAGAATTTCATATAGTTTAAAACCTTAACTGAACACAAGCAAAGTTTTTGAGACCTTAATTGTGCAATTAATATAAGTTTAAGACCTTTTCCTTCTACATTTGTCTATATAATATGTATATTGTAACATTTAATATTATAAATTTATAATTATAATATGCCACTATACATTATTGACTCTTTTTATTTACAAGCCCACACCATGATTTTAAATTTATAATATTATGTAATGTTATAAGTATATAATTGTGAAGCTTAATGTATTTTAAGTGATCTTAAAATTTTAAAAATCTAAAATATAATGGGATTTTTTATCAGTTTGTCCTTAAGAACATTTTTTAATTAATTGGTCCCTCCAAAAATTTTTTGGCCCCTCTAATACTTTTACGAAGCTTTACACATTGTATTGATTATTATATTTATGTAAAATATGCATGTCAAATTTTGAGTTTATTTAATATTTATAACCATTTCATTGAATAAACCATATTTTTTTTTTGTGTAATTAATGAAATAATTTAACATATTCAATCAATATGAACTCTAACATGTGTGATTTATATAAATAAAATAATCAATTAAACTAAATTTTAAATTCATATAAAATTTTATGTGATTAATGAAATAGTTTAATGCCAGTATTCAACCACCTTTTATATTTATGTTCTCAAACTTCAATCTGGTATCAGATAGAAACTAATCGATCCAAGCGTGCTTCTTTGGATAATCGTATGTAGTAATAATTCTATGAATTTAAACATAGTTTTGCAAAATCATACATTAAAATTTTTCATTCAAAGACTTAAGTTTGAAAAAGGAGAGGGTACAAAAATGAACCAAACAAGGCAATAAAAGTCTAAAACTGAAACACATACTGGCATTCATGATGCCGTGAACATCAACCGAACACACCAAGTAGGAGAAAGTTTCTAGTTGCTGGTAGTTAATGAAGATGAAGATGAAGATGAAGATGAAGATGGGGATTGATCAGCAATAGGGTATTTTCGAGCATTCTTGACGATCTTGGTGAGGGCAGCCTGGCCAAGATCAAGGCCACAGACATCAGCAAGACGAATGAGGTAGAGCAAAACATCTGAGAGCTCCTCTTCTAGATGTTCTTTATCGTCAGGACTCCAATTTGGTAGCCCTCTTGCTACCTCTCCTTTCCATTGAAATATCTCTGAGAGTTCTCCAACTTCTCCCACCTGTACATGTATATATCTTTAAATGCTTGGTTTAATGTTTGGAAAATTAACGTATGTATGGAGATGTGAAGGATTAAGGCCTTACTAGAGCTAGAAGAAGATTTCTTGGGCTGTGATATTGATCCCATCCTCTTACTTCAGCAAACTCTGCAAGCCTGTCTCTAAGTTCTTGAAGGGAAACATCCTTAGGTTTGGTGGGGAAGGCGAACTCACAAGAATTCTCCATCTGTTCTCTATCTACTGGTTTGTGGTTCACTTTGGCTCTGGAATGTCCCAATTTAAAGGCAATAGGGGGGTATTTTGGTCTTTTAATAAACAAGTGTCACTTCACCCCCCTAGTGTCAAACAAATTGAAATAAGAATCAAACTCATTATCCTGGTTGATTTCTTGTCTTACTTGATCATAATGATAATCAAACTCAAACTTAAATGAATCATAAGATCTTATTATAAACGATTAACATAGCATGCTAGGTAGCTATGTGCCAAGGACATGCTGATTCCATATGAGTATCAGAAAGAAAATTGACACTAAATTATTACTTACTTCAAGATCGGAAGTGTCTCTCATTGGGGCAAACTCCGGTAGAAACGCCCTGCTTGTTCTGGTCTATGCAAGCATCAGGAGGTTGAACCCTCTTTTTTTGCCATATCTAGCAAAAAGATCTGTGGGGTTAGTGAGGAGCGCACATGGTATTAGTATCAAGACAGTAATCATGTGAGGCATGGCACAGATGTCTACATCTTTCATACTATGACTTGATATCACTTACTTCACACCTGAGCATCCTTTATACGACCAATTTGGTAGCAGCTAGCCTATGGCAACCCTTTCTCTTGATGTCATGAGATCTTCATTCCATCTGCATTTCCATTCATTTCCTTTATAGACACTAGTTTTGGTCCAGTGGCAATTTGGACCATTTTTCCTCCCCTCCATTGGAAGAAACCAAATGAATGTTTCTTTTGCTTTATATTTTCTGCTAATGGGTGGGATGTGGACAAACCAGCATCATTGTCCGTGTCCTGCTTTGGGGATCCCGGAAATTGCGATTCTGATCTGGGTCGTTGGCTACATCTTGTGTTATCAAATCTGTTTGGTGAAGAAATATTCTTCTGTATTTCAAATCTGGCATGTGGGCTATGGTATGTTATACAATGAATCCATGAAATCCGCAGAACAATCAGATAAATTGCAATTTTGAAAGCATGAAACACCTGCAACCGAACAATTTCTTACTGGGATTTTGTTTTAAATAAAAACTTGGAGAAGTAAAATAACAACTGAAGAATGTCCCTTCTCCAAGAAAATTGACACAATTCAATTCAATGGCCATATTCAACCATACAATAATGGCTAGCAATGATTTACATAAACAAAAAACATGTACCAAAAAAGTACAATTGAACATGAGATCTCCTTCGTACTCAAACACGGTAATAAGTAAAAGCTAAAATTAATCAGGTGTTTAAGGAGGCAATGGTTACAGTCATCATAACTTTTGTGAAGGTATACAAAAATTATCAAATTTTTAATTTAATTTAATTGTTAAAAATAATTGATAATTAATGAAACAGTTAATATTTATTATTTAATAGACTGAAATTAATTTATAAGTAAATATTTTTAAATATTATAATTAATTATTTAAAAAAAGTATAAATTAATAAAAATACAATTAAATTAGTGGCATTAACAAAAGTTATGGTGACAAGAATCTCAGCCATTTAACAAGTTTATTAATGGAGGTTAAATTGAACAACTACAAACTCAGACATAGTTATCCATACACAGATTGCTGATTTGTAGTTCTTCTAACCATTGTTAGATGGGGATCATCTTCAAATCAAATCAGGGTCTGCCCCTCATCAATGGTTATAAAATGTGTAGTTCGCATATGAAGGACTGCACGGATCCACATGTTATGTTTGTATCTATGGAAGCTACTATTGAACTCATCTACATAATATACCATAGCAAAAGTAAGGGCATGGTGTTATCCACATATTAAGCCCGTCCCCCTCATCTCTGTACTCTGGTTATAATCTCCTAATTCAGCTAGAAAGAGCATAATTAAAAGGGTGCCAGGTAAAAGGAATACGTTAATCTTCTGTGTTCTAGTCATGTGCTTGTTCCATAATCAATCATGCAGCAACCTTCAATCTTCTTCACTTCAAGCTCCCGCAAAACGTGTTTTTTTCCTACAAGGTGACTCTGTAGAGAGACCTCATCTATGCACCAAATGTTGCACAAGTGGCAAACCTTTTGTTGCTTCTCAACATCATTGCCTCTTGTCCTACCACATTCTCGCATTCTCAGTTCAGTCTGGTGCTTTTTTCCCTTTAAATGCATCTGAAGTGCATGCCCATCGGTACACCCAATGCCACACAATTCACACCAATTTGGCCGCTCAGTCATCTCACCAATCTGTGCAAGTTTCAACCGGTCTTGTTCTTTCTTGTGCTTTTGTCCCGCTAAGTGCAGCTTCATCAGGTCATCATTCATGCACCAAATTCTACACAAACTGCACCACTTTCTTCCTCTCTGGTTTGCAACTGGATAGTCATCTTCTCCATCTTTTCTGCTGAACTTCAGTTCTTGCACTTTAAACTGGTGCCTTTTACTGCTTATATGCTGCTTATAGTTGAAGGGACCTGGACATGTAACTTGACAGACTTCACAAAACAAATTATCTGCCCGAGGCTCCAGCATGTCATCATTATTGAATGATTGCAGTAGTTGAAGCTGCAGGAATTGTGAATTACTTGATGGTGCAGATTGCTTTACTCCTGAAATACTAGGATTTGAACTAGACCTTGGCCTTGAAGAAGCACTGCCACTTGGAAGTTCTGGATTGCTTGGTGGTGCTGGTCGTTTTACTCCACAAAGGCTAGGATTTGAACTTGAAATTGGTCTAGAAGAAGCGTTTCCACTTAGAAGTTCCTCATTGCTTGGTGGTGCTCGGGGCTTTACTCCTGAAAGGCAAGGATTTGAACTCAAATTTGGCCATGAAGAAGCATTTCCACCTGGAAGTTCTTGATTCCTAGGTGGTGTTGGTTGCTTTTCTCCTGAGAGACTAAGATTTGAATTTGAAATTGTCCTTGAAGAAGCGTTTCTACTTGGACTTGATGAATGCACCTGCTTTCAAAAGAATACTGGTTCAGAAATAGGATTGGATGGATAAGCCATAATTAAAAACCAGTTAAACACTTAGCAGAATGGTTTGCTTTACTCCTGAAAGGCTAGTATTTGAACTTGAAATTGGCCTTGAAGAAGCATTTCCACTTAGAAGTTCTCGATTGCTTGGTGGTGCTGCTTGCTTTTCTCCTGAAAGACTAAGATTTGAATTTGAAATTGGCCTTGAAGAAGCATTTCCTCCTGGACTTGAAAAACACACCTGCTATCAAAAGAATACCGGTTCAAAAATAGAAATGGATGTATGTGCCATAATTAAAAACCAGTTAAACACTTTGCAGAGACACAAGGCTAACAAATAGAGTAAACGGCATACTAGTTAGTTTGGAAATGGATAAATACTACATTGCTCTAACAAGTTCGTTAATATAATGAACAAAGTCATAATTTGTATACGGAAGTCCCAAATTAAGATTAAGCTTTTGCAGTGTACCATATTTTACTTTAGGAATATTAACCTAATAAAATCAATCAATACTCGTAACATAAACATGATATTGCCCATAGATTTCAAGAAGTAGAGACAATCATTCCAATTAAAGAGCCAAATTCATGTGTTCTCTTCCTTATTTATAACTGTTTGCACTGAAAAGTTTTGCATGATTCTTATCCTAAAGAATTAGCTAGAATGAAAATGCCTCCTTGTCTATTACGTAACTCCATTTAATTTGGAATTAACCAATAATTAGGTTAATTAGAAACTGATTAGCTTAGAAAATTCTGATTAGAATACAAATGGAACTTTGGCCAAAAACAGAATACAAAAAGATCACAAGAAAGCCAAATTAATTATAGTTCAATCATAGATGGCATTCACTATACAAGCAACCATAAATTAAAGGCACAACTTTCTCTCTATCCATCTATCACCATTTTCACTTGTGTTTATCACAAAAATAACATCAAAAGTTTACTAAAAGCTGACAAAGTTAAAACTCAATGGGCCATCTTTTTGGTGGTAATAATATGCAGTATGTTATGAAAATTGATACAAACTCTTACCTGGAGTGGGATAAGTTCCTGTCCAGACTCAGCATTTGTTTGCAAATTCAGCATGGTAATCTTCCTTCTGTATGCCAGTTCTCTTTGGATGGCAAGTTCTACACTCATGACATTTTCCCTCCCCTGCTCAGCCATTTCCTTTTCTATTTTATCCTCTCCAAACTGCCCTGTTCAGGCCTTTTATGTTAAGAAGCAGCCAACGATAAATAAATTTAAATAATGCAACATCAGGAGAGGTGGTAGGGACGGAAAAAACAAATGTTGGTAACTCCTGAAGCGATCTAGTTGGTATAATAATATGAACATTTACTGCATAAGAAAATAAAGACAAATACTACAGATAACAATTTCCTGTTCAGTATATAATATAGAGAAACATTACTAATGTCAGCCCGAACAGCATGAGCAAGAAGGAACACTGAGACATTTTTTTGATAAGCCAAAAATTTTATTAACTTGGGTTCAAAGGGTACCCAAACCCATAACATCCTTTAATCTGGAATCCCCAAAAATTCCTATCTCCTCACCCTTTAGACATAACATACTGATACCCTAACATTTACAAACCAGTGCAAATTTAAGATGAGACAAATGTTATTTTCCTTTTAAAGCACAACTTGGGTCTGATTTCCATAACTCCAGTGGCAAGGAACACTGAAACATACATTGAATTCTACATCAAAACATTGGATAAAGTACTGAATGCAGAAAATCGTTCTCAATCTATAGTTAGTACTAATTTTGATACTATGCTGCATGCTTCTCTTACCATCAACATCTCAAGATCCAAGTTGAAACAAAAAAAGGTACTGCATTATAAAGGTTTTCACATCTATACAGCTCCCCTTTGACACGTTTGTAAAGTGTGCTGCCAACTATGGATACATGAGCTATGCATAGTCCGGGAAACAACCCAATTGTGCTCAAGAAGTTCTCATCAAGCAAATTGTTTCAAGTAAGCTCTTACAGCAACTAAGGTCCACTACTTCCCATGAATGAACTGAAGCCTAAAAAATACCTTTTAGCCTCAAAGAATATGCTTATATTTCTCAAAATGTTGACCATTTTAATTTTATACTTATTTAATGATGCATACTAGCAGAATGGCACCATGATTAATCAAACTCAGGCTGATAAAAAAAAAAAAATCAAACTCAGAACAAAAAAAACGAAACTAAAAAGAGACCCACTTTCAGAAAAGTTATGAAGCAGCCAAGGATCAAAAGTGGAGCACAGATAAAATTAGATAATAAATCATCAAGAAAGATGGCAATGCCTACAGTTATGAACGATTAAAAAGCAGCAAAATTATTAGAACCAACAAGAAGGAAAAGAGAACTACAATTCATGGAAGAAATGGAGTGATTTCAGAAGGGAAGAAAAATGCAGAAGAAAGAAACATACCCACATGAGAATGAGTGATGAATTTGAGAAAGGAATCAGATTTCTTGCTCATCAATCTCTCATGTTTGTGGGTATCTGTGAGAGCAAGAGAATCAAACTTTTCCCGAATGGGAGGACGAGCTCATGATATTATATCTTATTATTTTATTTTGACCCTTTTTATTTAAGGAACTAAATATTATATTATATTATATTAATTGACGTATTATATTATAATTATAAAATTTTTATATGATATTACAATTATATTATAAATATTTTTAATTTATATAAGATATAATTTTTATATTTTTATTAATAATTAATAATTAATATTACACAAAATAATTTAATTAAATAATTATTAAAATTTAAATTAATTTTTATTATTAATATAAATTAAAATTAAAAATATAATAATTACACCATTAACATATATTTTATATTTAAGGTGAAAAAAAAAATTATATCTTCTTATTTAATTTTTTTATTTTAAATAAATAATTAAATTAAAATAAAAATTAAAGAAAATTTTTTTTCCTATACTCCACTCCTTTCATTTTTTTTTAATAATTAAATAAATAATAAATAATATTTTTTCTTTCCCTTTCCTTCCCTTTGCTTTATTTTCCCCGATCCAAATATGCTGATACGCAAACGTTAGAAATTTCCTCAACCATTTCAAAGAGATTAAAGTGTTACCGCAAACAGAAAATTGATCTCGTCGAAGGGAATATAATCATAACTAGACTTGGCTTTTGTTTGGGAATGATTTTCAATGCTTTAGTTTGTACTTTTTAAATGTTATTATTATTATAAAAATGTAGAATAAAATATTAATTAAAATTAATACTTTTTATTTTAAAATATAAATTATTTAATTTTTTATATGTAATTTTAAATAATATTTTTTTATTAAATATAAATGATAATTGAGATGTAGTTTTTTTTGAAAATTTTATTCAAATAAAAAAATTTAAATAATCATTCATAATATGTACAAAAATAAAACAATTTATATTTTGAAATAGATAAAACATTAAATATAAAGATTAGTGTATTAGCTAGATTTGTAAAAATAATTAAATAAAAAATATTTAAAATTATATCGTTTTAATCAAATATTAAAAAATAAAACAACCTCACTTATACTTTGAAATTTAAGATATTTAATTTTTTTTAATCAAAATTATTAAAATAACGTAATTTAAAATATTATGACTAATAAATATTTTTCTCTTAAATATACTAGTGGTCTTTACTCTGCTACGCATGGTATTCTGTTTTAAATTTATATTCATTGATTTATTTATTTTTATTTTGTGAAAGATTAAATAACTTTTGATAAATTCCTACACAATTTTTAAAGGAAATAGGAGTTTCAATTTTTTTTTTAGTAAAAATGACAAATTCTATTATTTAGTATAAGTTTTATTGATTTATTAATTTGAAATATAAAAAGAAAATATAATGAAATAAGTTGTAAATTTAAGTTAAAAATTTAATAAGATAAAATTTGAATTTTAAATAAACGACCTAATCTAAATTATTTTTTATTATATAAGATTCAAATTAGGTGTAGGTAAGATTTTTTAATTTTGTTTATTTTGTAAATAAAGTAATAATTTTAATTTTAATTTATTTATTTTTTAGTTGTTGACTCATATTGAAAAATAAATGAATAATCATCATTTTAATTTAAAGAAGAAAATATTGAAATCGCAATAGGAAATTAAATTTAAAAAATAAAAGCCTAAATCACTTAATAAATAAAAGAGTTATCTTGATATTAAAAAAAATTTAGTTATTTTTAAATTTTTAAGCCTTTATGTATTTTGGCTTAATAATAACAAGATTTAATAAAGTATGAGTTATATTGATCTATTAATTTAAAATTTAGAAAAATAATATAATAAGGCTAATTGTGAATTTAAATTAAAATTTTAATAAGATAAA